GTGGCGACGTTGGTCTCGTCGAAGCCCGAGAAGCCCGCGCGCGTGAGGACGTCGGCGGCGACGCGCGCGGACGCGTCGGACTCGCGGCAGGACGCGAGCGTGACCTCGACGAAGCGGATGAGGCCGCCGTCGAGGGCGCGCGTCGCGCGCGCGTTGTCGACGATGAAGCCGAGGCGGTCCCAGGCGCGGGGCGTCGTGTCGGCCCGGAGGCAGCGGACCGCGAGCTCCAAATCCTCGCGCGTCATGTTCGCGACCGCGCCCACGTCCAAGCCGTAGAAGGCGCGCTTCAGCGACGGCGCGCGGTCGACGTACTGGCGGAACTCGGGCTCGTCGGCGCGGCGCGTCGACACCCAGACCAGGCGCTCGAAGCAGGCCTCGTCGGAGGAGGGCCGCGCGCCGTAGACGCCGCGGTAGAAGCGGACGTACGCCTCGCGGGAGAAGGCGCAGGTGCCGCTGCGGACGTACTTGGTCCCGTAGCAGTGGCTGAGGAGGCGGTCGACGTCGTTGGCCTCGTCGTCGCCCTCGTCGGCGCCGCGGAGGAAGAGGCGCCGCTGGTAGTCGTCCTCGGGCGGCGCGCGCGGGCCGTCCGCCTGGGGACCTACCGGCGGCGCGGGCGCCGCCGGCGGGCCGCGGGCGACGCCGGGCCGGTGGCGCTTGTTCGGCGGGAGGCGCTCGTTGGCCTCCGGCGGGGGCTTCGGGGCCGCGAGGGACGCCATCTCCTGCGCGACGAGCGCGGCCGCGCCGACCAACGCCGAGATGCCCGAGGGGAAGACCTGGACGATGGTGGCGCCCTCGATGGCCTCGCAGGGCTCGCCGCGCACGGGCGACCCCTCCAACAGCTGGTTGGACGACGTGTCGATCTGGCTCAGGTCCCGCGCGCGGCGGGGCCCGCCGCCCGCGCCGGACGAGTTCGCGTCGCGGCCCTTGGTCACGAGCTTGTACATGCGGCCCCGCAACCCGTGGCTCGGCTCGCCGGAGGCCGTCGTGCCCGGGCTCGGGCCCGGGGCGTTGCCGTCGGGGTCGTCGTAGAGGGGGCCCTTGCGCTTGTTGTCCGCCTGCTGGCCCGGGTACCGCGCCGTCGTGCGGCGCCGCGCCCGCGACATCGCGCAGACGGCGACGCCGAGCTCGGGCGCGTCGGCGGACCAGTGGACGTAGGAGTTGAGCACGGACTGGAAGGTCACGGGCGTGCACTCGCGCTGCTCCTCGCGGAAGTTGCGCTCGGGCTGCTTGCCCGCGCCCGCGCCGGCCGCGAACGCGCGGCTCACGACGTAGCACGTGCCCAGGCGCAGGTCGATGGGGCTCGCCGTCTTGCGGATCGGCAACGCCTCGAGGACGCGCCGGTCCTGCTTGCGCACGGCCTGGAGGAGCGCGAAGGCCTGGCAGGGGCTGAGCTCGACGCCGTACGCCACCGCTTCCAAGGCGGGGCCGACGCCGTCCTGGTCGCTGACCGCCGGGGGGCGGATCTGCGCCGGCGGCGCCAGGGGCGGCGCCATCGTCTGCAGGGGGGGCGCCAGGGTCGTCGTCATGGCCGGGGGGAACTCCGGCAGCGGGCGAGTTCCGGAAGACGACGCAAACGAAGCCAATGGCACGTCCGCGGCGCGGGGCGGGGCCGTGTTCGCGGCGCGCCGGGGCGCCGACGGTCCAGCGGGGCCGGACGCCTGAAGGGGTTGCTGTGGGTCGATGGCTCCGGCCCCGAGGGGACAGCGGAACGCGGACGAAGCGGAGAGGCGAGAGTGAATGCAGGAACTTCCTGGCCGCCGTGGTCGCTGGGGGCGGATTGCTCCTTGGGATGAACTAAAATGATCTAAAGTCACCGCCGACCTCGACTGATGATTGGGCCTCCTTTTCAGATTCCGACACGAGTGGTCTCGGACAGCAGCGCCATGATCGGCTGGGGGGTGGTGTGACAAGCTTCAACGGTTTTGACCCAACGTAATGGCGGAACAGGAAGCCATGAAATGGGAAAGAATGCGGGGGAAGAATGCATTGAAGTCCCACCTTACCCGCCACGCGGCGTCCTGAAGCAAGCCTTCTGCAAGTGCACGACGATGCGCGTCGCCGAGCTCCTCCTGGCGGCGCAGGCCGCGCGCGCGCTCGTCGACGTCGAGTGGTACGGCTACTCCAGCTGACAGCGCTCCCGCAGCGCCTGCGCCAAAACAAAGGCTGCCCCACGGACAAAAAGGCTGCCCACAGGTACTGCTACGAGGCCAGCAACGTCGTCAACGCGTCGCTGGCGGAC